TATCCATGTCTTATGTTATTATGAAATACTAACAACTCAAGCAATAATTCTTACTGATTTAGATTTTGATATTTTTTTGTTTTAAATTCACAAATTTACAGTGAAACATTCTACTTCAAAATACTTTAATTTAGCTGGAATTCATTTTCACTGAAAAGACATTTTAGCTGTTTTGTATGACATTTATTTCTACTACGTTTTGCTGAGTTCAATGTAAAACATGGGGAAAAAAAGTATTTTCATTGATTCAGCGAAAATAAATTCCAAGTGAAAATTTACATATTTACAGTGTTATAATTTCACACAGTTTTTCTAAGGAAATACATGATTTTTTTGTTTATTCATTTTAGAATTAAAAGTCCACTATGGAAGGAAACAGTTTTGCCAACCTAGCATATGGTGATGTGGCTCAACGATTTGGAAGTACCAGTGCTCTATCGACGCTTGCTCCCATTCCTCAGAAATCCAAGTACCGTGAACTGAGTCCAGATGTGTCAAACTTTCCCAACTATGAATTGAGTAGTAATTTTCCCCCCAATGATGTTCCAGAAGAATTTGATCAACAGTTGAGTATGAGAGACTCAAAACTACATCAGGATTCTCACTATGAGGTTAGTGTGGTTATATATTTGTTGTATTGTGATGCATTACATAAACCTTTGATTTGGTAAATTGTCTAACTTGTACACAGGAATTACAAATAAGTTTTTTTATACAATATACATGTACTGACATTGTGTCTAATGCATGTTGAGTTTTATTGGAAGATGGCAGAGACATGCAAAACTGACAGTCATTTTTTTGGAGCATTTTTGCATAAAAGTAGTTAGTTGTATGTAGGTAACGATAAAAATCTAGTTTGTCTCCATTATGTGCTCCCAAAAATTAACATATTCCTTGTAGAATGCCAAATGTTCTAGGGATACTTAATACATAAATGACATAATAGAAGTACAATAACATACTATGTTGGTAGTAGATATTTTTGGTCCCTGTTCGGGGACTTGTGTTTTTACCTCTGTGCGTCCGTATTTCCGTGCATGCGTCCGGATCTGTGTGTTAGAAATGCCTGGACTAATCACAATCAAACTTCACACATATATCATACATGATATATATATTATACATATGCACATCAATTTGTTTCACAATCTGATTGAAGATGACCGAATGGTAGCCATTTTTGTGCTAAGAAAACATCAAAATCAAGCATTTCTTGGCTGTTTTCAGATGCATTTTGTTCAAACTTGGTATATATGTTGGACATTATAGGACCTTGATGCACATCATTTTATTTTTCAGATAAGATTCAAAATGGCCGACTGGCGGCCATTTTGTTTTAATGAATGTGGTTCTAGTGCCATATCTCTGACTTGCTTCGACTGATTATGTTTAAATTTTAAATATTCATTATACATCATGTCATAGATATACAGATATATTGGTTTGACGATTCTATTAAAAATGGCCGAATGGTGGCCATTTTTGTGCTATCAAAAATCATCAAATATCAAGCATTTTTGGCATTTATGGATGGATTTTGTTCAAACTTGGTACATACATTAGACATTATGGGTTCCTGATGAACGTCGTATTATTTTTCAGATCAGATCAGAATGGCACTTGTTATCTATGAATTGGCTTATGTCTGATTTTAACATTTTGTTTTTCAAAGGGAATTAGTTCTGAAGAAGGACTTGTTCCTCAAGTATCGAGAACACAGTCCCAACCCAGAGATGACTACGTACAGCCTCAGGAACAAGGTAGAGGTTGGTCGTCACATGAACGTGCCATAAGTCATGATCAGGATTATTCTGATAGAAGTTCTGTTCCTAGGTGAGTATACAAAAAGAGATCAGTGTAACTTTTTTTTTTCAGCAATATTGGGTGGAAGTGGAATGTGCACTCAAGAAGAGATGATGTCGAAGTTTATGCAATTGCTGTTAGTCTATGAAGATGATCCATAAATTGTACATTTGGTAGGAACCATGGATGTAGATGCAAGTGATTATCTGTTTCCATGCTATGATTTGAATAAATGATGTTGCATGATGGTGTACAGCACCCTCTGGAGATAACTTGTTTATCATACATGTATGTATGTATGAACTTGGTACTAAATTATTGACATAGATCTATGTAATACAAAAATAGAACACAGAATCTTTGAAGAATTATTGGAGATGATGTTAATCCAGTTCTACTGTACAAGACCTTAATTTTACAGAAATGAGGACAATGTATACCAATACCACACTGACACAGTGATAAAATTGATGAACACTACTACCGGTAGCCCTAGAGAACAGATCCTGTTTTTCACACCATTTGAAGAGTATTATCAACTATCCATCCTATTTATGTGTTACTATGTGATGAAGTTTGTCATATGTTCTATACTGAACTCATTGTCCGAATTCATACAGTTTTGCTAAAGCCGGCCATTCATAATCGCCCCATGAACATGTGTGTGATCATGTTAGAAAAAGCTGTATTTCACTGCACTTAAATTGAGTCATTTGATTGGACGCGCCTAGGAGCTGGCGCCACCAATCAGCGTTGCTGTATTATAAATGTGAAGGTCAGGGCGTCATCACAGATTAAAATAATGGCGACGTGGAGGACCTGATTCACCTAGAGTCAAGGACAGAAGGTCTATATTTGTTGACACGTTCCCAAAATGTCTTATTCCAATGTTGAAAATTGTTTGTAGGCAAGTGAATAAAGACGATGGAGTGTCTAAATATTTGTGCAAACCGTGTTTTAGTGAACTGACAAAACTGTCGAAACTGAAAACATATTGACTCCAAGAAACGACCGCATCATTTAAATTTTACCAAGTAATGTGTCGTTTCTATCGTGAATTGATTGGGTGATGCAAATGAGCCGAAGTGAATCTTATAATCATTTGAGGGTGTGCGACATACAGTAAATCGTGGTAAAATCTGCCACGGGTTAATGTTGAGGCTTCGGCTGAATAAATGGTCCTTGGCTGGTGAAGATGTACAGAGCCAAGAGATGGTCTTAATGCTGCATACTTGTGTATCAGTGATGACCACCTGATGATGATTCAATACAACATAATATTATGTAATAAAGTATGTTATGCTCTGTAATGAGTAAAGCTATGATCATGATTCTGAGCTGTGTACATATGTAGAAGTTATGAACGTCTGAACCCTATACACATGTGAATGTGATAATTATTATCTTCATCTGTACTTGGCAAAGAGATGGACTTAGATGTTCTTTACACCGCTAAATCACATATTTGTTTGTACAACCACACTCGTGTGAATATAGCTTACCATGTTTTATACTGAGAGGCGAGTTAGCCTTGTTCTATGTACTATACTGATGTACCATATATCTGATGAAAGAACCTGATATGACATAAAAATATGGCAATGTTTACAAAACGTGGACCTTAGTATTCTAACAGCACTTTATGCAAGGTGGTGCTTTATAGTAATAAAAAGGAAAAAAATATCTGACTAGTTTGAAATGAACCAAGCCAGTTGGGCGAGGCAATGTCCTCTCTGAATTCCTACATGTGCATAATTTGATAAGTACTCAGCAAAGAAATTGTCTTGGGTGTGTGTATATTACTAGTGGGCCGTATATCTGATAAGAAAAGCTATAATACATACATACATAAATTAATGATACAGCTATGAAGTACTAATGGAATAAGACAAATTATTCTGAATGTGACAATGTGTTCTGTTACATTATATTACTGATGTGATACATGTAAGTGAGATGGACATAGCAGTCTTGGCTCACTTGCTAGATGGTACAACACATCTTCTGATACAGATGGTTTGTATTGAAGATAATTGACAATATATATATTTGCAAACCATTGCACTGCTGACCAGCTATGAAACACAGTATGTGGATGCTGTCTGCGTTATAAAACATACTACTATATGAATGTGCAGTTGACAGTGCTCAATAATAATCTGGTTATGTACTTTCACCATCAATCCATGTCTTGTGCATGAGATCAGAATGATATTCTCTGTATAATATAATATGTCTGCCTTAAAGACTTTATTGACGGATAGATATGATGATAATACATTGTAGTAACAATGGACACAAGTCTTTGCTTTTCTACTCGTGAAAAGTGTATATATTATCAACTTTAAGATCTATGCAGTTACACACTCTGGCACAGAATATTAATAAGCAACATAAGTTAAGAAGATGGCACAGTATATAATGGAGATAGTGCAAGAAGCCACTTGACATATTCCTAAAGACTTGATATGAGATTTTCTAAGGGAACCTGTTCACACATTTTTAGATCAAGAAAGATGACAATAGTGATGTGTACTGGCATTATTTTAAAGGAGTAGTATCAGTACATCGAAAGATGGAGAGGAGAAGGAAGACGTTCTTTGCATTTTCTAAAATTTATCTACATGTTTGCATCTAGCAGGCGGAGATGCTGCATAACATTTAAAAATTATGTACAGAAAAAAAATGGGAAACCCAGCTATGAATGAGAATTACAGAATGCCATCTCTGCCTAGGGGATTTGTATAAAAGACATTCATCATGACAAATGTGCTACATGTATATATCATCTTTTATTGGTGAGATTGATGAGCTGTTTTTATTCACAGAATGTTTATGAAAAAAAAACCTTCAGTTGTGGTGGATTTCATGATCTATGTGTAACATACAATCCCCACTCACCAAACAAAGTGATACAGTCATTGACAAGATCCTTTCCTGACATCATTGTGGCTGACATTATCCACACTAGTTTGAGCATGTGACTTGTGACATCAAACCAACTGTCTGTCGCATATACAGATAGAGAGAAGAATTGAAAATTATTTGGAATCTTGTTTTCATTTACAAATAGATAAATAAGTATACAAAATACACTGATAATTGGAACAGGTGCAGAAAACTAAAAGATAGAAGATAAGTGGTGAAATTCAGTCATCTTTATTTAATAATATGGATTGGTAGGACTACATGTGCACAAAGATAAATAGTAAAATGTTGGTGAAAAACCTTTGTTCAGATTTATCCTTTTTCAATTGAGTTTAATTAGCTGTTTTAAGTTTCCATTT